TGTATTTAAAGACCTGTCAATCAATTTGGGTCTGATAGCAGGTTTAGATCCAATGTTTTATTTAACTAACCAACCGTTGATGTGTGCTGTTGTTTCTTCCACTTTACACATGTAACATTTATAATTTGTCTGACATTCCTCTAAGTAAGCCTGATCTCTCTCTCACACACACACATTTTCTCTCCTGCACAGCTTTGGCCTTTAGGTCACCTGTGCTTGACTTTCTGTTCTTTGGTCATGTTTGGTTTTCTTCTTTGTTGATGCATTATGCATCACTGATCTTCATGTAGCTTTCATAGCAACCACCACACATGGCACTTTAGTGATTACAACTCTGGTTTTTATTTAATTGTCCTAGCACTGGGAAATACAAAAGCTGAAACATGTTGCCTTATAAATAATGAATTACATGATTTGGCTCAAGTTCTTCAGGAATGCAGACCTTTGTTTACTTAAATCTTATCAGATAAATCCAAGAATGACTTACCAACTAGGCCTCAGACGTCTAAGAGATCCAAAGAACAAACAAACAAACAAACAAACAAACAAACAAAACAACATAAGGTTCACTGCATGTCAGATGATTTTTGGTAATTCAATTATTTGCAAATTTGTTAGGAATTTGCACTTAAAGCAGCTACAAGGACCTTTCATTTTGTGTTGATTCTGGCGACCCCTGTGGACAAAAGCGGTACTGTTTCCACCTCCTCTGATTTTAAACGGATGTAAATAGGTATCAGTATATTTATGATACTGTTTTTTTTAACCAGTTAAAAACTCTACGCTATCAACAAATGTGGGTTCTGCATTCTCTCTGGAATCAGCACTAACCAGTCAGGCATACTAAACTTAAACTCTATTGGAGCTGAGATACCTTTTGCTCTGTTTTCAAGAATATTTCCATAATAAAAATATACAGATTCATCCATGGCCAGATTAACCCTTAAATGATGCCCATGGCAGAAATGTACTGTTGTGTATTTCTTTAGGGATGTTGAAGGGAACAGGCTCCATATAAAATGCACAAAGGAATGGAGATTGGGGTCCAGAGGCCCAACAGCATAGTCTATAACATCAGATACCAAACATTTTTTAAATTTGATATATATAACAAGAAAGCAGATAGAGCAACAATTGTTAACAACAAGTGTTTTATTTACTTAAAAAAGTGAGAGACATTTCAAGAGTGTACACACATTACATTATCCATCAGAAATAAAAAGTGATACAGGCACATAAAGTATACAAAAAATGGCTCATCATAGAATACTGATATGGGACAAAATTTGAACAAACTGCTCTGTCAAGATTCTCATAACCTCGACTTGTATGCTCGAGCGGCAGCTGGGTGAAAATTGTGTATGGGGTCAAACAGTGAATTAGAAAAAAAACACTAACTGACCCGTTACCACAAATCTCATTGGTATTTCAAAATAGCACAAAAAACTGACATCCTAAACTACATTCAAGAGCTTCTTTTTTTACAGGAGTATAGAAATGTACAATGAAACTAAATAGTTGTGACAGTGTGGAACTATTTTGACGTCATCTCCACAGTCGTAGCGTCATTGCCTCCGTTAACGTCATAGTCACCCACTGGGCCGCTGACCAGGACCTTCATTCGCTCAGGGAAGTCATCAAATTTGGGGGACAGCAGGAAATCGTATATGAGAGCTGCTGCAACACCACCACACATTGGCCCCACCCAGTACACCTGTAATGAACAACTCTGATCAATGTCTGGATCGGTTAACACCTGTTGTGTGTGAGCCATCATTATCACAGAAAGAAAGAACAGGAATAACACAAAGATTCCAGTGAAGTTCAAAAGGTTCACATGTGTCGATATCTCAGCCGGGCTAATTGTAAAACAATAGGAATGCTATAACTGATTAACTCGTGAAAGAGGATTCACGGGTAATGGAGTCATCTGTCTGTTATGGAGTTATTGAATTATTCAAGCTTGACATGTAATATGCATGCAGATAAATGTGAGGCACGCATAAAGAGCTTGTGTGCTTTGCTTTCTGACTTACCCAGTGGTCTGTGAAATCGTTCAGGATCAAAGCCGGACCAAAGGAGCGAGCGGGATTGATGCCGCAGCCTGTGTAGCTGATCTGTAATCACCAACAAAGAGACAACATAAGAGGATATCTTCAGCTACATGGTCTGGTGGTATAATAGAGACTGGCAGGGGTGAGGGGTATTTACTAGAACAATAAAAATGCATGAAATTCTTTCACTCCAACAGCTTTATCGTGTTTGTTGCTTGTTTACATTGCTCACATGTCCGATATCTAATTCTAGATAAACCTTACACTGCTTTGGGGATGGTTGTGGGGTGCAACTTACTGCTGCCAAGTGTCCCAGGCAGACTGAGAGGCCAATGGCCAAGGGTGCTGAGCCGGTGACATCACGCCGCCTTTTATCAGTGACTGCAATGACACACAGTACCAGCTGGAAGGTTGCCAGGAGCTCTATGCCCACGCCTTGGCTGGGAGTGACACCGTTGAGCTGCAAGAGTTAGGGAGGAATCCAACACAACAACAGTTTGTCAGTATGTGTCAGTTAGATGGATAGTTTCCCAACACGACCACTTCCCATTTAGCCTCCGCTGGCATCACCTTGGTAGTCTGACAGCAATTTGGCAGAAACTCCAAAGTGGCACATTGTTATTCATTTTTCATTTGTGGAAAACCTTATCATTGTTGTTCAGTGCAATTTAGCTGGGGTGTGTGTTGCGTTTGCAGTTTCTCCACAGAGAGCAGATATCATGCCTTCACACTCACAAGAAGACAGCTGATGTTACAAATTACAGATAATTAAAGAAGAAGTGTAGCATTTTAGTATTTTTAGAATGCAGAACCACAAATTTACCACAGGGGAGCTGAGGAGAAATTTCAAAGAGTTGACATTGCATATTTGTATTTGCAGAATCTCTCAGCTGTTGCAGTGTAGTGTGTTTTAATCATGTGTCATCACTGTTCAATTATAAGCAATGACAGAATGTCCAAAGAACAACACAAACAGTGCCAAATTAAGTGCTACATCCTGACAAAAGTACTACAAAGGCACTTTAAGTACACATTGTTGCATCCTATTTCTTAGAAGTGTGGGATGTTTCAGAGCTCCCAATCTTAAATCACATATTATTACACGTTCTGTCAACAACAGTAATATGAAATGTTTCACTTACAGAGTTGAGCCCCAGTGCAACATTGCTACTTGGACGTGCTCCATACACAATGCCACTGGCCAGGGCTGAACCCAGCATCTGGGCCACAATATACATGACTGCCTTGAACACGCTGATCTGGCAGCTGGCAAGCATCCCGAGGGTAACTGCAGGGTTCAGGTGGGCTCCGCTGATGTGGCCTAAACTCTGGGCCAGCGTGGCAATGGCCAGTCCGAATGCCAGTGACACCTTCACCTCCTGGTCTGGGTTGGAGTTGTTCGTGTTCCCAATTGCTGAGGAGATGCTGAGGTAAATGAAAAGGGTCATGCCAACCAGTTCGGCCAGAACAGCCCTCCAGAAGTCCTTGCTCTTGAATTCTCTCATGGTGGTGACAGTGTTGCTGTCCGGCTGTGGGTTTGAGGTCTGTAAAGTGTGTGTACTCACAAACAACAGCGACAGGCTGCATATATAAGGCCTGGGCTGATAATGGTCAGTGGGCGGGCTTTCAAAAAAACTGAAAGAGAGGGCCACGCTGAATTAATGAGAAATCCAAAAGACTGGTCTCTTACTTCCCTCCCTCTGCTCCCTCACCCTCCCTCCTCCTCTCCCTGTCCTCCGGCCCCTCTCCCAGTACCTCCCTGTGCACCACTTTCTGGTCTTTGGACTTTTGTAAGTAAAAGAACTGGGTCCTGAAATAGCTGTATCCAAAGATACATTTTCCACTCATACAAGCATTTTCAGTTTTATTGCAGAGCTCCCAATTGTGACTTTTGAGTTGGAAAATATTTTTGCTAACATGAATTTTAAGTATTTTAAATTTAATTTGTGTTTGGAATTTAATGGTAACTAAAAATTACAACCTTGCTCACTCGTGTCTTGTGCTCCTGTGGACTTAATCACACCATGGATGACTGACAGCACATAAGGGAGAGCCAGAGAGAAGCCAGACGACTCCCAAATAGTCATGTCAGGCCTCACCCTTCCCTCCACAGACAAGGTTTTCAGGCTTTTACAAGACCACCCAAATGACATCTCATGTTCCAGCCCCGAGACACACACGGAGAGACAAAGAAAGGGATTAAAAAAAACATAATGAATTTATTGCCAAAGTTACAAACAAATAAAAACAGCTTGAACTGGAATAAATTAGAATTTGTAACTTGCAGAAGAGAACAACTAGTAGACATATTTTTAGCAACCTAAACAAACAAATTAAAACAACTGATTAACTGAAAGGGTTGTTTACTAAATAATTATTAGATGTGTTGTAGAGCAAAAACTTGGAGCAGAGTAAAACATCAACTTTGAGAAATGAGCTGCCTGTTGCACCTGGACCCCAACTCAAGGGGGTGTGACAGCAAACAGCAGCCAGAACAAAAGCACAAGCCAGATATGCTGTGGGAGTTCTTATGTCTCTCTGGTTCTTGGTTAAACAAGTTATTCTTTTTTTTTTAATTTGTAAGGATATTAACTGTCTGGAGTGGAACAAAGTTGAATGTATATAATTTATGTATGTTTCACAAAAATTCAACTTGAATCCTTTTTTATTAGTTTTGGTTCCCCTATCATTGTTAATTAATGCTAATTTGCTAGTGGAGCATGAATGTTTTTCAGCTCCTGAAGGGGGGCCATAAGAATACATACACAACATTATTAAGTTGACTCTGCCTGTAAGTTTGACAGAATTGTGAGTTATTCTGTCGTTGCAACACAGGAAGTCTTGGTAGAGTAACTGTTTTTAAGAAGGATCAAAGGCATATTAGCAAAAGTGTTCTGTCCTTAAACAAATTTATGACCTTTTAATTATTAACTGTGCCAGCTTGTACTCTTACGAGCTCAATGGGCTCATATTTGGCAGATTCCTGACAGTGAGAGTGAACAGGGACAGAGCCAGGTGCACAATTATTGCTATAGGACATTTTGCAGTATCAGTAAACATGCTCTTGAATGTCAATGACTAATAATAAACTACTCTACGTAGATGTACAGTAGATGTCATCAGTTTGCTGAGAAAAATATGTGTCAGTCAGTGTTGGTTGCCCTAGCAATATGATTTTTTTCTTACTTCAGGGAAATGTCTTATTTATTGAATCATCCAATGTTTTTAGCTGACTTTTTACCTTTGTATTAACACAAACTGTAGACTGCCAGTCACATCCACCTCAATAACAGACTATTAGCTAACATTGAGTATATGTCATATATGTCCATATATACAGTATAAGTGAGAGTTTGTTACATTTTACACCTTTGACCTTAATATATTTTACATTTAAGAGCGAAAGGGCAAAGAGTTTGTAAGTGTAAAAATACCTGTTTTGACTTTCACATTATGTCACATCTAATTTTTGACCGGGACACACCAACAGCTCAGTTTTTTGTATGTTCCTGTGCTGTGCTTTGCTGCCCAGGAACAGGATGTAGATAAGCACCATTTGTAAGTAAGGTATGATGACATATACTGCACAAATAGCTTGAACATATGTAAAATATACTGCAGCACACAGAAAGAAACATTTTCTGGGCCCTTTTAACATTTCAAGCTCAGTTTGTCAGCTTTACTTTTATCAGCATATTAGCCAGTGGTGGAAGAAGTATTCAGATCCAGTTCAGCAATGTAAAACTGCTCCATTACAAGTAAAAGTTACGCATTCAAAATCAATAAATACAGGATTTTTAGCAGCAAATCTAACTTTAAGTATTAAAAGTAAATGTATTGAATGCAACAAAAAACAAAAAATATTTGTGGGATTATTTTTGATGCATAAACGTTTTTAAGTTTTTTTTTAATGTATTTTAATGTTATATTTGGTCAAGGTGGAGTTAATTTTTTTATTTCAGTTTATTCTGTGAAAAATTACCTTATTTTATTACTTAATCATATGAATTGTGTATAAAATCTAAGTAATCTAATAATCTAAGTAATAACTAAGTAACTAAGTAATAGTTGTAAGTATAAATAAGCAGAATATGAACAGTAAAGTTTACAGTAGTAGTTTTATCAGTCTACACTTTGAGATTGTATCAACATTAATACAGTGTAAGAAAAGTTAATGCTAACAGGTTAACATCTCTGCAGTGCTAACAGTAGCTAACAGTAGCATTAAGAAAATTACAACTGAGCTTGATGAACAGCGGTTGAAGCTCATGCACAGCTGAGGCTGTTGCTGCTACATGTGGTTACTGTGGAAACAGTCTCACCAAACTGCCTACACAGTTTTCAGTTCCCCAGTGACCTGGGTTTACCTGATCTGTTTGATATTTGAGTTAATATCCGGAAGGACGTGTGGTAGCCAACAGGAAGCATTTTATTAGTGCAACAGAATAGGACAAGGAAAATGGAACTTTAATTTTGGCATTGATCACTTTAATTTTCCTTCACGGTTAGCCAAGACATTATGCAAAATGTAGTAACAAAACAAAACAAAACAAAAAAACAAAAAAACATCTCCCTATAATTGTTTGACCTCACTGGACCATGGAAAAGAGAATAAGAAATTGCATTAAGAATATAAATTCCACAGCGATTTGAATGAATAACAAATACTTCAGGTATGTTTGGTTATGGTTATCTTCTTTTTTCAGTTTTTTTGTTTTGTTTTTGTTTACCTTTATTAAATAACTCCATTAAGGTGTTCTTGCAGTTGCAATCGCAGCAGTTCTTACCTAGTGCAATTAAGTGCTACACATGTGAGTCTTGTACGTCATGTGATGTGCAAGAGTAGCACTGGACCAAATAGTTCCAGGACAGATGTGGCCTGAGGGCAAGCTTGAGAAATAATGCCATAACGGAAACATGCAAGAAATTGTGTATGCTCGAGAGGTGAAAGTTTGGAAAGTTTCATGGCCAGAGGTGTGCGGTGCACAAGCAGCACAAGCCCAAATTGAAATGGGATTGGGAGCCAGACAGTATATTGTCAAGACTGGCATCACTTACAGTCACTCAAACCAGCTCCTCTCAATCCCTTTAAAAGCAGTGTGCAGCCAGGGTGAACTGACAGCTCTGCAGTGGAGGGACAGCCTTGCAAGTGATAACTTTAACATTTAAAACATTTAAAATAGCTAACCTGATGACTGATAAAATCACTAATGATTTATTAATCGCCATTCGTCACGTATCAGTAGTCGTATCTGAAAAGAATTAATTAATTTACAACAGTAGTGAGAAATCAGGGCCATGTTGGTAATACCCATCCAAAGTGATGACAACGATGTCAGTGAAGGACCAGATTTCAGATGGAAAATGTCAAAATACCTCAAGGTTGGCTAACAGCATAGCAATAACTGCATAACCTACAGTTAACCTACAGTTATGCAGTTATGCACACTGTAATAGTTTTGGGGTTATGGGGTGGACATATCAGTGAAAGCAATCATGTAAGTCATTAACTAGGTTACTTAATTTAAATTTCAAGCCACTTAAACCTGAGGTAACTAAGATTATTTCTCCTGATAACTTACATTTATGAACATCAAGATAACCCAGATCCCCCCAAACTGCAAAAACACAAACCATGTTTCCTTTTGAGGAAGGCATTTGATTGTACTGAGTCAGTTAAATCTTAAAATATATTTTTGAATGCTTAATTAGTTGTATTCTATCCCTGTATTTGTTATGTTTAACATGGTTCTAATACTTACATTGATATATTGTTATGGTCACCTCAATCTGAAGTCAACTGTAACCAAAAGAATGACAAAAAATAGAAACAAAAACAACAAAATCCCTCAGTGTGATTAAACGGAACCACTCACATCAACATTATGGAATTTACTATTTTAATTTTTATTTACCATCTTGCTTTTGTGGCATCTTCATACAGAAGTGCCTGTTTTGACATTGACTCAAGTGCAAAACTTTTCTATACTTTATGGTGTTTTCACAAATCTTTCAAAGCTGACAGTGTGACAGATTTCTCTGCATCTTATCAGGCTTTCAGACTACTTCAGCTTTGCCTTTGCTTATATCTTCTTCAAAACATACCTTTGCTCGAGCTTGTGGAGGGATGTCACATCAGACCGAATTGCAAGGTGCTCAGACCACTAGTAGAGGTATGTGGAGAATGCTTAAAAACACACAACGTATTAACACACTGAGAAGCTCTGTGTGAGTGATTTATGTCAGATTTGATATAAACATTTTAAAATTTCTAGCTAATGGAAGTTACGACTATAACAACAGCAGAAAGTGAATGTTGAGGGGAGGTCAAGGTCATGGTGGGCTTAATTATGGCATGAGTTTGTTTGGTTTTTAGGTTCAAAGGTGACACATACCACAAGCAGAGGTTGCTGCTATTACGCCATAATATTACAACTATTCATGCAGATTGTACATATAGCCATAACTTATTATACAGATTGCAGTAAAAAGTGGACTTTTGTTATTCAAAATAACAGATTTCTGTTTGCTTAAATATTGCAGTGCTCTGTATTATTATTCTTGCACTAAAAGAAAAGAAA